AACTGTTACTTTAAACCTTAATAAAGCATAAAACTGTAAATGTTACTACTGAGAATAGTAACATTTCAATGACTGCAATCTTGGTTTAAATCTTTATTTATTTAATGAAGGAAACCAATATAAAAACCACTTGTTTTAATTGGGATATAGTTTTTGTAGTGTCAGAATGTTTGTTGTCCTGTATCAATATAATTACAGTGAAACAGAAAGTACAATATGTTTCAGTTTTAAGGTTTGATGTATCAAGACATTAATATCGTAGGTCTGTTCTGAATTATCCCCACATACCATCATACGGTCCTCAGTAGATTCTAAAGTTATTTAAAGTCAGATGAACAACAAAACGTGACATATTACACTGTGCTATTATTTATCAAAAACTAAGCAAAGTGCAGAAGCAGTGTGTGAAAAAAACTACACCTTCAGTAACAACTTCCTGTGCAGCTTTATCAGGCTCTCATATTGTGATGGAGGAATTTTGGCCCATTGAAGTTTTTGAACATTAGTTTATACATAAACAGTGTGTGAATGTGAGAGTGAATGAAGAGTGGAATTGTAAAGCGCTTTGAGGGCCCCGAAAAGCGCTTTATAGATGCAATCCATTATTATTGTTATTATTATAAATTAAGATCTTGGCGCAGCCTTTCAGGGAGGAGTTGTGGAGTTACGCTGGGCCGATTCGAGACCTTTGTGCCCATCTTCTGTTGAAGGACTACTTCAGTTTCACACGCTGCTTCTGCATTTTAGCTCAATTTGCACAAAATAAACAATGATATAGTGTAATATGTCATCTGATGACATTTATGTCTTTCACTTCTTCTACGTATCGTTTTACGTTCAGAAACATCCTATTGTCATTGAATAATTGCAGCATTTAAACATATCTAATTGTAAGTTATACTACAATTCTCATAAATATAAATGATTATCATTTGATGATACAAAAATAAGGATATCAGCTTTAAACCTGTAGTGTCATCTGATATATGAGTCAGTTTTATAACTACATGTTTTTCCATGTAGGTCAAAATTGAATTCGACATGAATTCCATAAGATGGCAAATCTCTGATTAGCCTGAACTAAATAAACAATGTCAGAGGTAGGAAGTCAAAAATAATATTATCATGAGTCACGCTTCAGAAAATGGTCAACACCTTTCTGTGTGTGATTTGTATTTGAGTGCACATCCAGCATATAGTCTCTAAACCCCTTCCTTATATAATAATTTACTTTAAAATGAACCCTTTAAAAAAGGAAATTATCATTATTATTATTAAATTTATAGCTTAGCTTTTATCTGTTACTTTCATTTTTAATCACGCTGGTTCACTTGCTAAAATATTTATATAGTAATGACATATTATTAGTTAAACTGAATAAAATGAAGTGAAATTCTATTTGTTCTCAAACCTTTGACCATGTTTGAGTTTTTCTAATCAAATCACTAAATAGTAAAATATAAATAATATATAACTGTTCATAAATGTCAATCATAACAAAACAGTTTGCATGTAACTGCCATCAAAAATAACTTTCTTGCTTGACTTCTGAATGTTGAGGGGCAAAGACTGAACCTGTGACAACCACTAATTAACCTTCTATACTTGCAAGGATACGTGCAAGCATGTGGGACACTTGGCCTCTTGGATGATATCTCTGCAAGGTCAACGTCATCACTCGGGCTACCCCAAACCCTTATCACACCTTACACACCTTAACCCACAATCACAGTCTACCTGGTCAGATCTTTTCAGTTGGGTCAAACTGGACACAACCTCTCAGCATCTAAGGAACATTCTGGGATAGGATTATGGGGGAAATCCATTGCATAGGTTGCTAAAACCTATGTGGAGCCACAGGATAAGAAAGTAAAGTCACTAGAATAGCAGTTATCTGAAGACCGTGAGAACTTCCCGAAGATCCTACATCATACTGCAACAACTACCCAAAGGAAAGATATTTTTCTGTTCATAGGCCAAAGACGACTTCATCCTGGTAATAACTGACAAACCTTTGTGACAATCAAATAAAAGAGAAGAAGGAGCCTAAATATCCAAAAGCAAGTTTGATGCAGCCAAGATCCCCCAGATAATCAAAACATTAGAAAAAACGCTTAAATTGATAAATACTGTCTCCAAAGGTAAAACCTGAGACTTGCTGGGATGTACGGTATTAAAGTTCAACCGATTTTTGAGCCAAACTTTCCTAAATGTGTTGTATGTACAAAAACACTATTTAACATTTTATTTAATATTATTAAATAATACTTAAGAGTCTAAGAGATTTTATTCTGAATAGTTCAGTAAAAACTAGAGAAGAATAAGGAACCCTCTGACAGAAGAGCCTAACCCTGCAATCACAAACTCATATCATATGATCCAAGTTATTTTTTCTCTACCCTGTTTGATAAAACAATTATTGTTGCAACATTTTTGGCATTTTTCATAATAACTGGACAATTAACTGTGAAAATGCTTCTCAGATTTGATCTACTTAGACATGTTGAGTCAGACGTTTATGTTTGTCTCTAACGCAGTCTCATCAGTGAGTGATGCTAGCATCTTACAGAATTTAAATGAAGGATTAGCAGAATATTTGTTACTGGTTGTTGGCCTTTTTCATGGAAAAAATGTAACCTGCTTATTTGCACACTGAAGGTTTTTAATAGTTTGCAGTGAAACCATTTAAGAAGCCCTTTTAGTTGCCATCTTATGAAATTAACTGAAAGAAAAAAAGGAAAACAGAAAATTTACAACAGAGAACAGAATCACTTGATAAATTCTCTAAACAAACCAGACAGACAACAGCCACACGGAGAAAAGAAAAGGAAAAGAAGAAACCGCGTTGAGTGAGAAAGATGACCATTGATGATGATGCAACCACAAAAAATGGCTTCCAACGTAAACAGAAATGCAAACAAAACAACCAAGTTTGTGTAATTGCAGGCGCATGGTATCAGTCAAAACACATGCAAGCAACGATCTTCCTGAAGTCAATGATTTTTAGAGTTTATCATACCATGATGACAATGATCGCTCAAGAAAAGAAAATGAAGAAAGCAGAATTTGTGGCAAAAAGTCCTTTTTTGCCATCAGCACCAAAACATGTTCAAATGTAAAGCAGCTTTGGAGAGGAAGCTAAAGCAGGACAGTAGACTGGTGCTGCCGTCAGTCTCATGTGGGACTCGGTATGTTCAGGGTTACAACGTTGATGGCAAGAAAAGTTTCTTTTTTCTGCCTTTGTAGCTGCTTTGAAATAATAAGGTGATGTGTGTGTGTTTTCTTTTTTTTTAACAGCTGGAAACAGTTGTCACCCACCAAAACGTCATGCCACACATGATGAGGCCAAAATACAAAAATGCATTTTTAGACAACTGGCGAAAAGGCGGGAATGAAGTCTTGGCAACAAAACTTTAAAAAATGCAAAACAACCAGAAAAAAGCATCGACTTAGAAAAAGGAGCAAAAGAAAAGTAAAATCAAAGCGTGCAGCTGTCAACGTCAACGTGATGTCCGGGTTAGAATGATGTGAATTTCTGTGTAAACATATGATTGGATGACTGGGGCCCTGTCTTTGTCTTTCTTCACAAATCCCCATGGATCTCACCCTGGACCTGACCGCTTTAAACCCAGTTAACAACAATATTTCACATACTCTGAAAAAATTTGGGAATGACCTTCAGTAAGGGCATATGTTGTGATGAACATTATCTTTCCGGATTAGGAATCACACTATATCCATTTCCCTTAAGGGAACTTAAGAAATGGCGTAAATGTTTCTTTATCACCTCCAACATTTGTGATTTGATGCAGTTCACACCCATAGCTCCACTTTGGTGGCATTACGTTTACTCTTTGGGTGAAAATCAACCTTCGCATCAACGGTTGTGCTGTAAAGATACAGAACCTCCACCTATTTACATCCACCAGATGACCTGTTTGGGTGTTAAAGGTAGAGTCAGGTTTAGTGTTACGATAAATCGTATCACAGAAACACTTTACTTGAAAAGCAACGTCTTTTCCATTTCTGAAAATACTTTTTGGTGTGTGGCTAAGATGTAGCTTACCCAACTCCTGAGTGACCTGGTGGATGTTCCTGTGATCATATTAAAACTAACAACTTTCAACGTTTTATCTACCTAAGAAATACATGTCTGTGCTTTTGTGCCATAGCAAAAATATATCTGTTAACTGTCCGCTACAAAAACTGAAATATGGAAATTCCCAAACTCTTTCAATTTGAGCGTTAAGTTATCGCAACATTTTATTTATTTATTCATTTATTTTAAATATTTAGGTACAAAAAAGACAGAATAACAAGTACACCTAAAAGCAAAAGTGTAACCCAAAAAAAGAAAAACCTGTACACAGAAATTCAATGATATCTGTTCTCTAGCACATGTACCAATGCAAGCCTCTAAATCTGGGAAAGCACAAATAGAAACAAAAATTAAAATACATTGATGTAAACTAGACAACACTTTAGCTGAACACAAAATTTAAAACCAAAAACTGTTCAAATGTACTGTTTGAAACTCAAATCAACAGAGCAATGAATGGCAGAAGCAATGGACTCAAACATGATGTTGTAAGTTCAGCATCAGTACAGAGAACATGGTTCACCATCATACAAACTCAGCGTATTGGTGATGACATGGACTAACCCTCATTTTCCCCCTTAGCAGACAACAATTGAATGTACATTGGTGACCATGTTGACTACTTTGTATAACCCCATGTGCAAGTGTAGCTCATGACCTTGATAAATTACTACTGTGCTAAATTAAGATTCTGGATGTACAAATGCATTTCAATACCCAGTTTTCTTACATTAAGTGTTGCTGAGGAATTGGGCTGAGCTTACTGTTAGCACCTTGGCCATTTATTAAGATACACTTTGACTGACCATGGGGGCGTGATGCTTTAAGGATACCTCGATCCTCTATTGCAGATGAGTGACAGCACATAGAAAGCAAGCAAATGCAAACTAACCTAGCCCACCTGTACGGCTAGTTTCACACTCCTCCTCATCTTCATCATCACTCGAACACTCGGCAGATGACCCAATGTCCTCTTGGTGCTTCAGGGCCAGAATGTTGGTCATCAGAGACACAATATCCATAGCAAATATACCAAAACAGCAAAGAGCCAGCAGAAGACACAAAGTAGCGCATAAAGAGAGGAGAAGAATATTTAAGACAAGTTAGAAAGTGAATGCCAATCACAACTCAGGAACACAACAACGACCAAAAGATCTTAAGTCAAGGTTCATCGTTTTTCAGAGCTTTCAGTTTCCATGGCTCAGCTGTTATTCACACTACTTTGTTGGTGGCGTTCTAATTAAAGATGGTCTTTGGTGTCGGACGCAAATACCCTCTTTCATACTTCTCCAAACATCTACTGTCTCCCAAATTTATGTGGACGTTTGATGACTTTAGGGTCTGCCCTGTCTATTGAATGCTTTGGAGTTATGCTAAGTCTACACTGGGTGCAAAGCCCTCTGCTATTCGGTCAGGCAAAGTTACTAAATGTTATTTACTTTCTGTAGGCTCTGGGTGTTATATACCTCACATATACACAGAAGGGCCTCAGCTGGTGGTTCCACACTTGAACCTTTCTTCTGTTGCCTGCTTGCCGGGTAATGTAACTTTCGTTAATCACTGCATTGCAGCACCTGAAAGCAGCGGGTTGTTAAATCATTTCAGACAAACCCCTAAAGGATATCATCCTGAGATGTTGTAATGTTCAGATGATCTGAGTTCAACTGAAAGGCTCTGCAACAGAACCTTGAGTTAAGTTTTTTTTTTGTTTGTTTGTTTTTACTAATAAACAAAACTCAATTCATATAAACATTTGAAAAATAGTAGTTCTACCAATATTATCTAAGGGTTCCTAACATTAAATACATTCAGATGGTTTTACATTTAATATCAAAGAGCAGCTATTCCATTTGCTTCAGCTGACACAAACCCAAGCATGGCAGTAAGAGCAACAAGCAAAGAGTAGTCCGGCTGTTATCCTCGCCCCAGTTTCTTTTTAATCTTTCACACCTAAATTTGGCACAAAAGACTCTGGAATCTACCAAACCATGCCGACCTGTGAATGCCCACGTCTTTAATATTGTGTAACGGTAAACAGATACTTTTAACATAGGTCACATACAGTACACCTATATGCTGTATGAGCTCATTGCATTAATGCAGTTTTTACTTTTATTTATATAGTGCTAAATCATCACAAGTCATCGTCACAGCAGTTTCTCTGAATCATATTAAATCATTAATTCTTTTTCATCAGAAGAAAAATCCTTTAAAAATATTCAATATTTAAAAATATTTCATATTTTAAAATCTGTCAAGGTACTCCAGTCGGTCTCATCCTAAAACGGGAACAGCAGATACACGAGCGAGATAATCTGATACTACAACACAGCAATGAGACTTTCAGCTGCTACTACTTTGTATTAGGTTCAGATAACGTGTAAAATCTTTGAAATTGTATCCAGACTATAAACTGCACATAAAGCATGAATATAGATTCGAGTCTGTAAAGTAAAGCCAGTGGAAATGCAATAAACCTACATTAGTAGGCGCTGACTCTTCTGGTTTCAAAAACATTAATAGTTGTATGATATCTATGGGAGGTGGGCTTCTGACTTTTTTGCTCTGTGGCCTCAGTTAATATTTTCCTTATGCACTCCAATTTTTCTTCTTCCAGCCGCACCTTTTAGTGGTTGCCACAGTGTGTTCACCTGCCTGTTTCATAGTTATATTGAATCTACCTTTTTAAAAATTATGGTCATTATTGGAGTTAGACACGACTACACTGCTATAGTCGCTAGTCAATAAGCATTTGAGTTTTTTAATAAGCATAAATAGAAGCAGCTTGCAAAGAGTTGGCTGGCGGTAGGTGGCAGACTGCTGCCTACTTTCTATTTTAACTGCTAACTTTAGCCACCATTTGCATCGTTTTTGGCCTCATAGATCCATGCTTGCATAAACCAATGGATTATACCAATACATTTGGAGTCAAACCCATATTACAGCAACTGCTGCAGGACTGCAAGGTCAGTAAAAACCTTTTTATTCCTTAAGTTATATTTAGCACTAACAGAGTAGCTAACAGCAAGCTAGTAGCTAATGTTAGCTTAGCTAATGTTAGCTTAGCTAATGTTAGCTTAGCTAATAATACTTAGAGTAGTTCTAAAAACTAAGGTTGCATAAAAGTGATGCTGTCATGAAATAAGCTGATCATTAATATTGTAAATATGGACAGACAACTAGATGTGGTTAGTTATACTTTCAAATAAGACATAGTCACCAACAAACAAAGCACTCCAGTTTTCAACAGTTTAGGGTGGAGGTTTAGTTACTCAGAATATAGCTATCCACCCCCAGCTAGATCTATGGATGGCAGTGCAGGTGGTGCGCCCCCCACCCTGAATTGTACAAGCAGGGGAAGATGGATGGCATCTTATTTTTGTATACTGGACATTTTAAAAATGTGCTCCACTTTCTTTCCTTCTTTCCTGAAATAGATTTACCGTATTATGTGTTGTCATCCATGTGAAAGAGCGTTATCTAAACTCCAATACGAGTCTAATGTATTCATATGTGTTATTCTTTTAAACTGAATTATTTGCATTTTGCACAAGTGTTTCCAGTTCATTACATATTTCCTGATGCTTGTTTTAATTTCATGACCATGGTATTAAATTTCTGCTTGTTACACAAAAGCTTCCACAGGTGTTTCCTGGTAGTCATTACTATTCTTTAAGTTTGCTTTAAAAGGTTATTACATGGTTATTAATATATTATTAAATGGAAACAGGCAGTTATGCATTTTGCAGCGCTGTTTCCTGCTTATTACACAGAAAAGAATAGCAATATTTCCAGGTAATAATCACACTTCTTTAAGTTAGCCTTAATGGGTTATTCATATGTAATAAATTGGAAACAGGTCATTTGCATTTTGCAGCTGTTTCGTGCATATTACACAGAAACGACCGTGGGTAATTGAGTGTTAATAACCACATAATTGCATTCTTGTTTCTTCACGGATACCTTACTATTACCACTTTATTACCGAGCTGTATTTCCACATTATTACCCTCAGTTAAAACCTTTATTACGTTCTTGTTTCCGCTTTGTTACCCTACTATTACCACTTTATTACCGAGCCGTAATAGAAAGTGCAACCAAATGTTAATGCATCAAATCATGAAGGTTGAAGAACAACAAATATGACTCTTGCTTCCTGTATGTATAGTCATAAGAACACACATACCTGTACAGTTGAGGAAGATCTGTGTTTCCGTGTGGTTGTAGTGGACATCATGGTAGTAGTCTCAATGAAGGACGTTGTCATCTCTGGAGACATGGCTGTGCTCCTGGCTGAACCTGCCACACTAGGTACATCGCCTACCAACCTTACACTGCCATTGATCTTGATGTTTGGGTTGCCTTCAGCTGCCATGTTCAACACCTTTAGGCCGTTGTAATAAAGGCCAGAGAGCTGACCTTGAAAGGGCCGGCCACGATCACTACCACCAATTGCCACTGTTGCTTGTGTGTTGAAAATTGTTAACTGCCGCCCTAGAGAAGACATCCAGAGTAAGATATTGTCAACAAAGAAAGGAGCTTTGAATAAAACAAAAATGCAAACACCCAGGTGCAGTGCCACTAAAATGTTACATGCAAGCTAGATTTAAAAAAACAAACACTATAGAATCCAATGTAGAACCTGAATACAAACAAAACCTGTGAAAACTGAAAGAAAAGTGTTTACATAATTAAAATTAACTGCATGAACAACAGTCTGTGAGCCTGTGAACGGCATAGTTGTGCCAGTTTTGGTCCGTTTTAAGTCTAATGCAACAAGCAAACTGCAACAGTGCGCACAGTAGCCAACCTCAAAAATGACACTACACATATTTAGCTGTTGATTCCACCTTACAATGACAAAAATAATTCATTTATCTTGACAGTGTGAAGGACAATACATAATGTATTCCTCTATTAAAACTGAATGATACTATATGTACTAAACTGAAACAGATTTCTCACACAGTGGCATAAAACTGCACGATGAATTTTACCATCAAAACATAAAAAGAACCATTAACAGCACATCATTTGATGAAAATAAATTAGTAAGGAATGAATCAGATGTGATTTTGTACAAATTTATTCACTTATCTAGTTCTTTGGTGAGTTCTCATTTTTAAGCCGTGTGTAGGTTCACATTCATGTTCAGAAATTTTCATGTTATTCTAGAGGTTACAGTTAACTTTAGCACAATCAGATACACATCAGGTTGATTTGAAATTACCTTTCTCTTGTAGCCATTCTTCTACTGGTCTGGCAAATTTAAAAGGAATTTTCTTATTGGCCATCTGATAGCGTTCGATGTCGCTGTTCCCTTTAAAGTTTAAAAACACATGTATTAAACACAGATCGATGACCGGAGTCACATCATGAAGGAAATATCAATTTACATTTACAAACGATAAATCTGAATTTAGCAGAAACATTCATTTTGGTTGAAACGGTTGTTGGTTAGAGCAGCGGTCCCCAACCCCCGGGCCTCGGACCGGTACCGGTCCGTGAGTCGTTTGGTACCGGGCCGCGAGAGTTGAGGCTCAGGTGTGAAAT